AACACACACACACACACACACACACACACGAGTTAAACGCGCAGAACGCTCCTCTACTACACTAATAGATGCTAGCGGGTTAGCAACTTACTGACTACAACTACACACCAGTTTCGCACTTTCTGGCCTAAACTAAACACAAACGACGTTAACATATGTTAATATTTAGTTCTTTTTACAGGTGGTGCGTTGTAAACTTAACCCGGCGCGGACCGAGCACGGGATTTCAGTCACTCATTTAACTTAACCTATAGAGTAAGCCTAACATTTTCACTCAAATATATTCTACATCTGCTAAAATCATAGGATGTTAAACCAGTGCTGCCATACACACACAAATAAGCGCGATGTTGCGAGATTTTGACTACAATCTTGAGGATTTCATTTCGTGCCTACCATCTTGTTCGCTGGTTCCGCGCAAAGAGGAAGTGACCACGATCTCGCGATAATTTCACCACTGGACGCGCGAACTCGACAGGAACAAGTTCCGTCACGATGAAAACGTCCGGTGGGACCAAAACAATATTAAAACCGATTTTTTTTTTTATTATAAAGAGCAGTTGATGCTGTTTAGTACACTGTAGTATATATTCCAGAGTTTTTACTCTTTTTAAAAAATAGATTTCGTGTGACTTTACAGCGTGGCACGCGTTTCTGCGGGACCGTAATACTGAAGGGACGTGTAGTTTTTGTGGACTACAGACGCTATGGCGGAGGCGCTGATTCCCGCAGCGGAGCTCTCGAAGCCCGGCGCTGATTCTGCGGCTGCTGCTGGAGCCATGGAGGTGAGGAGGACTTTGTCTCGGGTTTATCAGCTTCACTGATCGCGTTCACAGCTGTTTACACCCGCTAGCGCTCTCTCACAGCTGGAGCACAGAGATATGACACGGACCTGCTGGGTTTCTGTATGAAACATCACGGTTATTATAAGTTAATTGCTGTGAAGGTTGTTTACTGATCGCCACCGATATTGTCCTGTGCAGCTCCTTATTTCGGTCAACATCTTAAGATATCATATTTTCGGACGTCATATTAGTAAGATCACGTGACAGTGCAGTGTTGTGTCAAACCACACACACACACAGACACACACTCACACAGACAGACAGACAGACACACACACACACA